ACGATGTGGTCACCCCTGCAACACGTTGGAATATTTCTTGCCGACACACGATCGAAGTATTTTCAAACATGGACAATAGAGATGGCACAAGGAAGACCAACCCCACAAGGGGTTGATCCCCTAGGGGATGATGCGCGGGTGGACCCTGAGAATGATATTAGGAGGGGGAGGCAAGTGAGAAATCAGGGGAGCCGGCGGGTTTAGCTCTCCGTTGCGATAGTGAAGCGGCTCCAAAAACCAATCAGCCAGGCTGAGCCAGATCACTGGCATACGAAGGCTGAAGTCAACACTCACGGCGGAGGAGTTAGAGGGTATACGGAAAAAAAATTACCAGGTGCCTGAAAAAATAGAGTTGATGTTACGAACAGCAATGGAAAGGGCCATTCCGACACCCGGCCGGGGGAGGTTTGCTCTACGAGGAGGCGTTGAAGGGTAGGGTTAAGGTTGGCCTTCCCGGTGGTGTGGATGTCTCAACCGACTGGAAGTGGCGCCGCCAGGCCAACTGTGGCCAACGCATGGAAGATTTATCTAAAACATTATTGTGCGTGGGCGAAGGCGAACGAGGGAGCGGCCATGACGGTGGACGAGTTTTTTGCCTGCTATAAGGCCTCGAGCCAGCAAGAAACTTGGGTCACTTTGCAGGTGGCAGCAGGAAGGGGTTTGGTGGCAGGGTTACCGTCATCAATTAAAGGATGGAAGTCGCGGTGGTTCTACGTATCTGCGAACGGCAGAATTGGAGTACGCACGATGTGGAGGATACCCACCAAGTCTATGGAGCCAAAGCTGGGGGCTGCAGCGGAGAAGAGGGTGAAAAAGGTGAAAGCATGGAGGAAGAAGAAGGGCGTCAGTTGGGATGACCTTGTTCAGCCGTCAGCCGACCGGTGGGGATCTGGCACCGGCAGAGCTTGAGGCGAAAAGAAAAGTGCAAGAGGCGGAGGACCGAGCTATTTTTGCCAAAGCCAATAAGTTCAAGGAAGCGCAGTTAGGCCTACCACCAAAATCAGTCGCGAGGGAAAGAATCTGACCACGCCCCAAGCCGTTGGGGGAAAAAGACTTGGGCAGTTTTGAGCTACGACCGGTTGACCAAGCCAGCGCCAACTGATAATACGATTTTTGATGGTAGGACGGGTTGGACTGATCCACGCTCTTTAAGCCTAATGTCCGAATAACCATGCCCACCAGAGAACCTGCACAAGAGTTCAACGAGGAACGGGGAATCCCCCAGCGAACCTTCTGACGAACAAGTTAGAGAGAGAGAGAGAGTGGAGTATGTAGATAGATTAGAGATAGAAAAGCTTAACCTTCTTCTTGTCTTCAACGTTTGCTTATATCCTTTGGTAATCATTTCGTTGTCCCTTCCGGCCTGTCACCTTGGCCAAAAGTCTATGCTGTAGCTTACCTTGTTCAGGGTAAGGGTGTGCTGTCCCGACGGAGAGGTGTTGTCGTAATAAATGCAGTGAGGTGCTGCATTAATGACGATGTGCAGTGGCAATAACTTTGCAGATCTTTGTTTGTTGATGTGGCTTGCCCTTTATCTGCCACGTGTCTGAATACCATTGGTCCTTCATGCCATGTTGACTTCTGGCCGATGCTGGGCCTTATCAGTTGGGTTTATGTATTGGGCCCCAAGTGGTAGGCTTAGGTTGTTCATGGTGGGTTATGGCTTTTATGGGCCTACCCACGTCAATACACAAGCTCTAATTTATGAACTTATACTCCATTAAATTCTAATTAAAATTTTTTAAACTTTTAAATCCCATTAAATTTTTAATTGTCGGAATTACCTTTCAAATAATGATTGTTCATTATTTATGATTATGGAGCAATTTGGAAACTTGGTACCAAGTTCTCCCATAAAAGCCACAAAAATGTCAGTTTTTTTGCTAAAAAAGCCATAAAAAAAGTCAAAAAACCAATTGAATTTTTTTTTAAAAAAAAAAACTAATTAGCGTGTTTGGTTTCAATTTTTTGAATTCAATTTTCTGAAAATTGAGTTTTTTATTTTTCGTATTTTTTTAGTGAATATTTTAAAAAATTTAAGCAATTTTTTTACTTTTTTTTGATGCACTTGACTTAGATGTATCTAAAAAGTAAAATATTTGTGAAAAAATATTTTAACAAATTAATAAATACATAAAAATATGAAAAATATAATGAATTTTTGTATTTTTATTTTTAGTATTTATTTTGCTAAAAAAGCCATAAAAAAAGTCAAAAAACCAATTGAATTTTTTTTAAAAAAAAAAAACTAATTAGCGTGTTTGGTTTCAATTTTTTGAATTCAATTTTCTGAAAATTGAGTTTTTTATTTTTCGTATTTTTTTAGTGAATATTTTAAAAAATTTAAGCAATTTTTTTACTTTTTTTTGATGCACTTGACTTAGATGTATCTAAAAAGTAAAATATTTGTGAAAAAATATTTTAACAAATTAATAAATACATAAAAATATGATAAATATAATGAACTTTTGTATTTTTATTTTTAGTATTTAGTGAATTTTTTAAATATTTTTTTTCATAAATATTATACTTTTTAAGTATATTTATATTACGTGTGTCTAAAAATTAAAAAAATTGTTTAAAATATTAAAAAAATTCAATGAGTAAGAAAATACAAAAAACAAAAAAGTAAATTTTTTTGAAAAGTAAATTTTGAAAATCAAAACCAAAGTGAATATTTTTTGTGCAAAATTAAAAATTTTGTGTCTATAAAGGAGAATGATGATGAAACATTGATATGTAATAAAAAAAAATGAAAAAATGAAAAAACTGATAGTATTCTCAGTTTTAAAACTAAAAATAACTGATAATGTTCTCGATTCTATTAGATAGTTAAATCAAATTAATAAGTAGAAAGGTAAAACTATTTAATCTCTCATACTCTATTTTTTTTATTAGTTAGTAAAACAATTATCTAAAACATTATTATGTAAAATTGATAATGTTCTTAATTTTAAAAATTAAAAAAAATTGAAAATATTATCAATTTTATTAAATATGACTTATTAATTTAAAAAATCTTAAATGAGCCCTAAAGTGCCATAATATTTATAAATAAGATTTTTAAGTAATTAACTCAAAAAAATCACTTTCTAAAACAAAACTAGGGTTTTTACATTGGGCTGTCATGTTGAAATAAGACAGCCAGCGCCATTAGCCTTTTTTCACCTTAAACCCTAAAACCCCCGAGCCGCTCACCCGCCCTCTTCGTCTCTGATCTTGTGCGGAGAGAGAGATGGGGAGATCGCGAAGGAAGTACAAGAATTCGAGAACGAAGGTTCAAGTGGGACTACCAAAGAAGAATCCTCGCATATTCAAACCTTCCTTCTCTCTCCCTCCAAAGCTTCGTTCCATGATCGATTCCTCCGATCCCAAATGGGACGACCAAGGCAGGGTTCTCGACAACTACAAAGCTTTCGGCCTTGTTTCTAACCCTAACTTCCTCGGCGTCCGATCTCGCACTTCTCACATCATCGAAAGCGAGTCTCTTCAGGTTCCTCCTCCCGCCGCCGATTCCACTGTCTCCGAGTTCGACCCCGTCGATTCCGGCAGCGACCTTGAAGAAGACGGTTACTTCTTCCTCTTCCTCTCTATTGATTCCATTCATTGTGTTTTAAATTCGAATTTAATTTCTTGTTTTATATATTTATGCATTAACTATGGTTCATATCATAATACATTGGATTAAATGAAAATTGTTTGAGTTATGGACTAATACATAAATTTTGTGGTTGTATGCTTAGACAATCAACTAAATTGAAAGGCAAAAAAAGAGAGGTAAATCTTATGTTTTGTGGTATTTTGGTCTTTGAAAAAATGAAAACTCACCTAAATCATGCGTAATTGTTGTATTGATTGGGCTTAGAACATTGGATTAAATGAAAATTGTACTAGTTATGGACAAAATGATGGCCTTAGACAATCATAAATAAATATTGTGTTTGTATGCTTAGACAATCAGCTAAGATTGAAAGAAAAAATTAGTAAATCTTATGTTTTGTTCTATTTTGATCTTTGAATAAATGAAAACTCATCTAAATCATGCATAATTGTTGTATTGATTGGGCTTAGAACATTGGATGGCCTTGTTTTTTCGGATTCTGAGTTAGGAAGTGTATAAGGTTGAGCTTGTTTTGTAATTCATTATTGTAACATGATGTAGCATTAGAGGTAAGGGTATGTTTGGTTTGTGTTTGAGAGATGTGTTTTAGAGATAAAAAGTACGAAAAGTTGTTTGGTTTGGTTTTTTTCAAAAGATGTTTTGGAAAATTATTTTGAGAGAGAGTTTTGGAAAAAGTGATTGATTTGATGTGTGTGAGAGAGAGAGATTTGTTTGGAAAACTTGTTTGGTTTACAAGTTTTGAGAAATTTTTTTGGGAAAATTTGTTTGGTTTGATTACTTTTAAAAACTTATTTGTAGAGAAAATTTCCCAAAAAATTTTCACAAATACAAACCAAAAATATGTTTTGTAATTCATTATTTGAAAAGAATTTTCTCAATGATATTCATCAGACCAATTCATATACATAAGCATTAGAAGTTTATCAGATTCTTGTTTTGGGAGCCTTAAAGTTAAAATATCTGTTTAAAGTTAATTATTGCTCCCAAGTTAATGCTCTGGCTATCCCATGCGAGTTGTATTTGTCCTATTTTCTCATTATCCATCCCAATTCAGTCATATGATGACTTGCATAATAGCTTTGCTATGTCTTGGCATGTCATAAGTTTCCCAGGGACCATTGCAGTCTTATCTTGTGGGTTATTTATCATGCAATTTGCCCTATCGGAATGTTTATGTTACTACCGGCGTGTGCTCTTCTTATTCACTGTCTTTCAAACCCATTTGTATAATACCGCAATAATTCTGCTGTACATTTCATGTAATTTTACTCGAGAATTAGAATTTCCATGAAAAAAACTGACTAATAATATCTTTGGAGGCCAGCTACTTGAGGGATATACTCGTATACTTGTATTACAGGGTAATATTGGCGGTGTTTGGGAACTTGGTTTTTGGGTTTTTTTTTGTTTTTTTTCAGTACAAGACAAATGTTTTACAAAACCAAAAAAAACAAATCCAAACAAAATATCATATCAAATCTCATAATCATTTCACTTTTTTTCTCACAAACATTACATCCAACCACAAAAAAACCCAACTATCTTCCCAAACACAAAAAAAAATTTCTCTAATAATATCCTACAATTAAAAAAACCTGCAAAAAAACTCACTTCCCAAACACCCATATTGCTTAATTAGACAATTGTGTTAGAGATAGTTTTCTTATGTTTAATTTCTAGGAGAAGCCAATGCTGTTCTAGCTAATTATGGTTTCCTGCCTTGTTTTTCTATGAATGAATAATGCCCATGGTGCATTTTATGAAAATTTCAATGGTTGGCATAGAGAAGATGTTTAGAAAAAAATCGCTTGATAATAGAGTTTATAGTCATAGCACATGTACCAAGGAAGTATAGTTTGTTGACTACAGTCGAAAATCCAAACAAGCAACTGTGGCTTTGTGTTGCATCATGCATGCAACTTTGATTACACGATCTTTTGCTGTACTATGCTACTAGATATTAACAAGTGATATGTATTTGGGCTATTTTGGCTATGTAGACTTAAAATCAGCCCTTGGAAAGAAGCGAAGAGATGGGAAGAGTGCACCTCTGCAACCACTGACAACCATGCAACGAACTCACATTGGCAGACTCATAGAAAAATATGGAGATGATTATCAGGTAAGGAAGGAAGTTTTTTACTTGAGAAACTCTGCAGTTTGTTGGATTTGTCATTTCCTTTTCTCATTAGATTCTTCCTTTGCAGAGCATGTTCATGGATACAAAACTTAACAGGATGCAGCATTCGGTTGGCACTTTGGAGAATTTATGCAAAAGATACCACATGTATAAAGATAAAAATCCCTTGATTGTGGGCTGTTGAGCATGATTCAGCTTGGATTATATCAGGAGATTCTGCAGTTGCAACCGGAATTTTTCTTAAATTTTACTGTAAGGGGTATAATGATTTTTGGATATCAGAGGTGTTTTTTCCTAGCTCTTTGGGCTTTTATATTGTATGATGATTGCTCCAAGTCCTTACCCTCCAGAGAATGTCCTATATGGAAATTTGGATCTCATACGAAAGTTTTAGTCATTTTATGTCGTTTCTGCAAAACTTCTTGTTTCTTTTTTTCTTTTTTGGAATTGTTTTCTCACAGCTTCTTTGATAACAAATTAGTCATTGAAGTTGCTGAAAAGCATGGTGAACTTCAATCCACTAGTGTTTTCTTGGTTTGTAAGTTTCTTCTTGTAATTGTACCAACCATGTTATGCCTAGTTGTGAATTTTCATTTGACTTAAATTTTAATCAATTAATCATTTCCAGGGGATCAAATATTAGGAAATCATGCTTGACAACTTGGTATCCAACAATAGCAACAGAGAACAGAACAGAATAATGAGTTTTTGTATGGAAATCATGATGTTTTACTAGGCACCTCGTTCAACAATAATAGTGAAATGAAATACAAGTGGGAGAATACCCATATCTTCAAAAAATTTCTGTAGAAAGTGCTTCACCACAGAACTGCAATAAACAAAATAAAATAAATACAAACATGGCATTCCAGGTCTACAAATAATTTTACAAATATGTTACTTACTCCATTTCGGCTAAAGATGGCATATACAAGACTTGTTGAAATCCCTACATATCAACACAGAAGACACAAAAACTAATTGATAGCTCAAGGCAAATTCAAGACACGAACATCAGAAGATGTTTGTTAACACAAGTAGTTAATACTACTAGCACCAATAAAAAGAAGAAACAGCCGCTTTAGACACCCATAAATGCCTGGCACTGGGCCTGCCAGTGCTCCTTAGCCTGCTGAATTCTCTCCACTCTCTCGATTTGAAGCCGCTCCTCCCAATATTTATGACAACTGTTTCAATATGCATATGATTAGAATAAGAAAGTCGCATTGCAACTACCTGTATCTTTTTCATATAACTGGACATGACATAAACAAAATGTACCATCGACTTAACAAGATATTAAGCTCATCCATGTGTACAGCACCTTCAAACACTCCATCCTGAAAACCAACGAAAATAATTCATAAAATGAAAGGTAATTATCCGTTAGACATGAAACAAAAGCATAGCATTGTTGGATTTTTTACATTGAAAATTCTAAGATAAACATGTCAGTTGATGAAAATGAAAACTACCTTTCATGATATGTCAACATTGAGTGGTAAGTCAAGTCTCTCTGACTTAAAATTAAAACCCATTCTGAGTCTGTTTTTAGATTTATGTGGTGGGTGATTACGCACACTTAATTGTGAAACCACTAAATGCGTTCAATGATAAGTGCTTCATTGTGTTATGAAACAACATAGACACCAATCATTAAGTTGAAAAACCTCAATTACTTGGTTAATTAGGAGGAGCTTCTTTAAAGACATGAAGAAATTTATGACAAAGCCTACTAAATAATGATAAGTACACCGACTTACATTTCGGCAGAGAGGGCACTTTCCTTTGGGATCTGCAGTATCTAATCCATCCACGATGGTTACTGATGCAGCCTTGCAAGCACATATATAGCAGAAGATATGACCACAGGTCAGAGCTACTGGATCAAATACAGTATCCTGTTACAAGAAAAGTCAAATGCATTGATCAATTGTGGATCTTATTGGAAGAAACTGATAGCAAAGCTATAAATAGCCTAATCAAAGTTTAATACAATGATTGCGGATGATGATAACATGCATAACACACAGAGAGAGTTGGGCTACTGCTAAATCACATCCAAAAAAGTGCTTCCAGTTCCAATCTGAGCTGTCTTACCATGATATTCTGTAATGCATCATACTTTAAGAAAGTACCATAATAAATTTATAATCACTATGATAAACACTCACAATAAATATAATATACTTCAATTATGGTGCTATAGCATTAATGGAGTTTCTCATGCTGCTCTTCCTAATTCTTGACACAAGTGGACTAAACCTTTCAATCAATTGCAGGGTTTCATATATGACATAATTTAAACTTCAAATTTACTTTCCTGTAGACATTTTCGAATAAAGAAACAGTACCAACCTTTAATAATTGTTAACTGTGTATAAATATTGATGAATACAATGTAAGACTTTGAACAGCTAGAAATCAATCAGAACTAGTTCCTAGAAACCTTGGAGAGAAACTGATTTGGATTCCAATATCTGAAGTCAGTTAAAGCCACTAGATGCAGGAGCCAACTATGTTGGAAAGATGCTAAAATGGGAAATTAATGCTCAAGGTATTAGAATCCAGGTACTGGGCTCTTTGATATAGAAAATTTTGATTATTCCAAGAGTATCTTGATGATTCACTAAATTTTGGTGAACTGATATTACATAAGACAGTGAAAGTAAAGATTTTGCACAACAACAAATGAATAAATTTGTCAGATCATGTGTTAACTTCATGTTTAAGTGTCCAATATTAAAAAGACTAAACTCTGGAAGACTTACCAAGCATATAGAACAAGTCAAGTCAATATCAAGCTTGATGGAATCAAAGAGTTCGCAAGAGAGTGATGGTTTGTCATCATTAATTACAAGAGAGCAGCCCTCAAAAAACACGGAAGCCTTCCTTTTATGGTCCTTTGTTTCCCTCAAGTTTATGTGGAAAGCCATCAGCTCGCATAGCCATGGTGACTGAAGGATCTCAATGTGCATACTTTGGGCTTGCGATTTGAATGCTTGTCCTTGGTTAGAGTAGTGAATCTAAAGTCAAAATAAATGAATATATAAGTAAATAAAAAACACAATAGTTTCTAGTTACGCTCCATTTGATTGCTGAAAGTGGGATTAACATACCTTGTCATACTTCTTTAGTATTTTGCGCATTGCAATGGCGTTGATTATTGCATACATAACCAGATCTTTGCCTTCTTGAGTTAAGGCAACATGGTTACCCTGTAGCTTGTCTTTGAACCAAATGAAGCACTTACGGAACCCTGAAGCCATATGCTGCGCGAGCAATTTCTGTACCCGCTCATTAAAGCAACCAACTACTGCAGACATTTCCTTGAGCAAGGACGGGAAAAAGGTTCCATCGCAAACTACAAAATAGAGTTACAATCCAACCACAACTAAGGAAGATTAACGAAGAGGAATACAAATCAAACAAACACCACACCTTCCTCAAAGTGATGCATGTGCTCTCTCATGAGAGTGTTCAACAGCTAGCGCTTAGAGGATTCATCAAAATTTGTCTTTTCTTCATCACAAGTCAATTACTACCAACCCCTAGTTCTCCATTATTATTGCTATTTTTACCAAGGTCATTCTAGGGGATAGTGACCAAAACTTTTGTTATCTAACAAAATTAAGAAGCAAAGTCCGTTTAGTGAGAGCCTATTTTCTTTGACAAAGCTATCACGGACAAACATGTTCACACCTATATACAAATATGTGTATGCGTGTGTGTGTGTGTGTGTGTGTGTGTGTTGGCTCTATCTTTTCTACTCATCCAACATGACGGACCAACTCAAAACACAAATTAAAGACTACTGTAAAAGAAGAAAAGCAAATATACAACTATAACAAACAGGACAAAAAATTTAAAAATAAAAACGAAAAAGGGAAGAAGAATAAAAGATTGTGAACCAGCGAATTACATCAGCTAAAACTTTAAATTTTTGGTGTTGTAGCCTAATTAGTACGCAAAGTAATTTCTGAATATGTTAAATCAATTAATTAATTGAACAAAAGGCTTATAATAAAGAAAATATCGAATTATCATTATACAGCTTCGGCATGATTGACAAGAACAAATTCTTGAGAGAGAGAGAGAGAGAGAGAGAAGGGGCTGTTTAACATCCTCTACAAATCTTCCAGAACATGCAAATGAAAACAAGGAAAAAAACAAAGAACTCAGAACACTAAAACACATAGATAAAACCCAAAATTCAAAATCAATTAACTCATCAGAAATTTAAAAAAATAAAAATAAAATCAGTTATATAAGTTCATCAAAGGCAAATAAATACAAATATGTATACATACAGATGAGTGTAAGTACCCGGGCAATGGTGGGGGCAATTGGCAGAGTCATCATGGTGGTGTAGGACCATCTTATTGTTGTGGGTTTGAAGATCTATTCTACATTTCTTCAAGATCTTCTTCAGTTTCTTGAATCCTACACGTGGAAGTTTCTTCTGATCTTGCCCTTGCATGTACTCCTCATATTTCTTGCAGAACTTCATCTTCTTCTTCTTCTTCACCGACCCAATTCCACAAACAGTTAATCTTAAGCTCTCTTTCTCTATCCCTCTCTCTAATACAACGATGTTGGTTACCACCTGACGTCAAAATGAGTGATTCTGTTTATGTAGAGTCAATTTATCGGCAATGTCTCCCCCTCGATAACTTCACCAAACTCTGACTGTCTACTTTGTCTTTTTTAAATCTGATTTTTAATTTAACCTCCGTTTGGAAAGTGGGTTAACTTTTTGATTTTTTTGACTATATGAGTATGGGCTCAAAAATTTAGTTTGGGAAGGATTTTTGGTTTTTTGGCTTTTTTAATTTTTTTGTGAGAGAAGAGTACAATGATTATGGAGTTGGATGGGATGTTTTGTCTGTTGTAGCTCATGAGCCTATTGTGTCTTTTATGGCTCATTGAGCCAAAAAAGCCCAATGAGCCCTTGCCAAACCAACCCTTAATATTTCATTTTTTCTTCTTTTTTTAAGGATTATAACTTTTGGTTTATTTTTCAAATCTTAACTTTATTTATTTTTAAGGATAAATTATAAATAGATTTTCTGAAATTTGATTAAAATATGAATCGTCCTTTATAATTTTAAAAATTATATTTTATCTTTTGAGATTTTTAATTTCATAAAAAATGATACTTTTTATTAATAAATTATCAAGTCAATTAACAGTTTTTAATAATGTTAAAATTATGTTTTAATTAACAATTTAAGTAATTTTATTATTGTATAGGAGAGCAATTATAAATTTTATTTTTAGTTAATTTTATTAAATAAAAAATTCTAATAAGAGATATTTATAATTTTTCAAACATCAGGATTGTATTTATAATTTACTCTATTTTTAAACTATGATTTGGATATCACAAGTTAACCAAATATGTTTTTAAAGGATAAATTACAAACACACCTTTCGAAATTTACTTAAATTACAAATTATCTATGTGATTCTAGAAATTACATTATGCCTCTAAGGTTTCTAATTTCATAACAAATAAGTCCTTTTATTAATAAACTATCAAGTTAATTAACAGTTTTTAATAATGTTAAAATTTTATTACAATTAATAATTCAGATAATTTTATTATTGTACAAGTGAATAGTTAGAAATTTTACTTTTTTAATTAATTCTATTAAATAAAAAAAATTTGATAGGGAGGTATTTGTAATTTTTCAAACCACATGAGGCAATTCGTATTTTAAGTAAACTATAAGGGTATATTTGTAATTTATCTATTTTTAAAATATAACTCAAAATTATTTTTCTTTTTATTATTAATCAATCAATCAATCAATTATTTTTTCTCTCTCATCTCTCTTCTCACATTCTCTTACATTCTATACATCAATAAATAAAAAAAATAAAAAATAAAAAAAAAATTACAAATCATTCTAAAACTATTTTCAAAACTTAAAACTAAACAAATTTTTTCTTTTCAAATTATGATTCAAAAACTCAAAACTCAAAACACAGCTCTACATTTAAATCATAATTCTAAATTAAACCAATCCGACCCAATAAATCATGTCATTCGACCAAAAATAATTACAAATACGTAGGGGTGTAATTTTTTCTTAGGTAAAATCCAGAAAGATTTTCACACCTCATTAATTGATAATTTCCTATGTTTTTAAAAAATATAGTGAGGTATATATTATTGCATAAATATGTATAAAATATTAAATAAATAATAAGTTATATTTGGCGGGTTAGAGTTATCACTTTAGTCGATGATGAGGCGCATGATCATTTCATATAGCTTGTATTTGAATGAAAGACTTAAAAAAAACATTTGCATAAGAAAAGAAAAAGTGAAGGTCGTATTACATGTAGGGTTTTTTTGGGAAGTAAATTAATAATTATTTTTTAATTTTAAATTTATTTTAGATCATATTATTTCTCACATCTTTTATATATTTTTTTAAAAAAAATAAAAAAAATCAAAAAAATTAATTTTTAATCATTTTCTCAAAACTCCTTAATAAGTTATATATGTTATATATTTTTTTAAAAAAAATAAAAAAAATCAAAAAAATTAATTTTTAATCATTTTCTCAAAACTCCTTAATAAGTTATATATGTAATGTAACAGTTGCACAATTCAATTATAGGTTCATAAAATTTCTGTTTAAAAAATTTATAATCTATGGTTGACTTGGATTGGTGATGTGACAAAACGACGTGACAAAACAATCGGTTCATGTACTCTTTCCATTTTAATATAATGGTTTTTCTTGAAGAATTTAACTTTTTGACAGTATAATTATTGTATTTAAAAAAATTTGATTCTTTAAAATTACTTTCTAATAATATATTTTTTTAGAGAATATCAATGTCATAATTACACTTTTTATGTTGTTAATGAATTTAAAAGAAAAACAAAATAGAAAATTTATATTATTTTTATACTTAATTTTTAAAAAATGACTAATATTTTGGGACGGATGGAGTAATATGTTTAGAATGATTTTTTAGTTTTTTACGAAAAGATATAAAAAAATAGAGACAAAAGAAAATCTTTAACTTTTTGAATATATATATATATATATATTACAGTGATGCTAATTGATGCCAAGAGTCATGTGAACATTTTTTTTTCTCTTTTTTGGTTAATGGAGGATGATGATTATTCACGTGAGCTCACTCTAAAATGTAGATAGATAGATAGAATTCGTTTGAGAAATAAGTTAGTTTTTTGATTTTTTAATTATTTTAATTTGAAGTTAAAAAATTTTATTTGGGATAGATTTTTTTAATTTTTTTGATATTTTATAAGAGAAAAAAGTAATGATTATGAGTTGAATGTGACATTTTATCTTATTAAATTAAAAAGTTTATTTTATATTTTTGTAACTAAAACAGTCTCAAACCCAACCCAACTCAAGTTGCCAAACGAAGATATATAGTATTTATGGAAAGCATAATGTGAAATCTAATCCAAAGTTTCAACTTTTTGTTTAGTTTCAATTTTCAGAATTTATTTTTTTTTAAATTTATTTTTTATTTTTCATTTATTTTCCGTTTTTATTGTATTTTTTTAATATTTTAAGTAATTTTTGAATTTCTAGATACACTTAACATAAATACACTTAAAAAGTATAATATTTATGAATATTTTTAAAAAAATTCACTAAATATCAAAAATATAAAAAAAATTATAAAAATTCATTTATTAATTTTTTATAAATATTTTATTATTTAAATACATCTAAATAAGATGTATCTAAAAAAATATAAAAAATTACTTAAAATTTTAAAAATATTTATTAAAAATATAAAAAATAAAAAATTCAATATTTAAAAAACTAAATTTTAAAAACTATGACCAATTGCAATGAAATTTTCCATACTAAGAGCTGGCAAGATAAGGATGAGTGATGTCAGAGCGTATGCTTTACCAAAAAAAAACTTTATATTAAATGAATGGTGCCAAATGGCAAGATTAGACCATCTTTAACGCTTTATTAAATTTGACATTAGATTTAAATTTTGGTGAAGAAATTATCTTTTTGGTATTTTAATGGTTTCAACAAATTAGTATCAAATTGAAAAAATATCAAATCTTCCACCAAACTGAGGACGGCTCTCTCTTTTCACTAAATCACTGTGTATAACCGTTACAGCAGAACTTTGCACAAATTTTACACATGGTGGTCGACCACCTGATCGACCCCCTGATCGACCAACCGGTTGACCAGCTCATGCAAATGGTTTAAAAATTGGCCTGCGAACTGATTCAAATGGTTCAAATTACTGGTTCAAACGGTTCAAAAAAAATTTAAACCAACGGTTAGGTAGGCTCAAACAGTTCAAAAAGGTAAAAAAAAAAAAATTTGCCTTACTGGTCGACCAACCAGTTGACCCACGAGATGATTCTTCTTTTTGATTCACTGTTGGAACAACTGATATCAAATTAAGAAAATGAGCCATTTTTTACACAAATTTGATGAAAAAAGTATTGAACCGTTGGAGATGCTCTTAGAGAGCTGAGTTTAGTTCCAGTCTATGATTAGATTAAAGGATATTGTTAAATCTGTGAAGGTTCATTACGAATTTTGTTTTGATAATTTAAATTATTTAATGTGTAGAAATCTTCAAATATTATATATCTATAAAAAATCATATTGATCAGATATGAATAGTTATCTCATCGGATCAAATTTCTATCAATCATTTATTTTTTCACTGTTTATTTTTTTTTTATGCAAAACTGATTTGATTACGTAACTATCAATATTTGATCAATTTTATTTTTTTTATAAATATATAATACTCGACGAATTTTATATATTTTATAGTTAAAATTATCAAAACGAGACTCATAATAAGCCTTCGTAGGCTTAATAATATCTTTCAGTCCGATCGCAGGCGTGAGGGAAGCTAGCACCATCTGTTAGTTGCATGTCGTTTATAGAGATATATTTTTATTTTGAGCAATGATATTCTTATTTTTTTAAATCTTTTTAAAAACATTTTAACTTTGTTTGATTTAATTTTTAAAATAAATTTTGAGTTTTGAATTGTATTTTAAAAATAAGTTTTTTAAATGAGTTTTGAAAAGTAAAAACTTGTTTGGTTATGAGTTTTGAAAGAATTTTAAAACTAATTTTTGAATTGTATATTTTAAAAACTTATTTGGTTATGAGTTTTGAAATTAATTTTTGAGTTGTATATTTTGAAAACTTGTTTGGTTATGGGTTTTGAAACTAACTTTTTTATTTAACTTATTTTTTTGAAACATTTTTTTTTCTATTTTTTATTTCTGTAAAAAAATATTTATTTACTTATTTTTATTTTTTGCACAAAATAATTATTTTATTTTTTCTAAATTATTTTAAAAAATTAGTCAAAAGTTAAAAAAAATTAATTTTTATTTTAAATATATATTTTATTTTTAAAAATTATTTATTTATTTTTAATTATAAATTTTTTTGGATCGCCCATATATATATATATATATCTAAATCGTAACAAATTATTTGACCAATACTTAAATAAAAATAAAAATAAAATATTTTTCAAAAAAATAAAAAAAAATAATTTTAAAGAACAAAAATAAAAAAAAAAATGATTTTTTTCTTTTTTTTTTATTTATAAAAAAATAGAGTTTTGAAAACT